ATCATAATTCTGCAATTATAGAATTATGATCGTTAAGAATCTTAATGATCATAATTCTGCAATTTCTGAAATATGATCGTTAAGAATCTTAATGATCATAATTCTGCAATTATAGAATTATGATCATAATTCTGCAATTTCTGAACGATCATAATTCTATAATTGCAGAATTATGATCGTTAAGATTCTTAATGATCATAATTCTGCAATTATAGAATTATGATCATAATTCTGCAATTTCTGAACGATTATAATTCTATAATTGCAGAATTATGATCGTTAAGATTCTTAACGATCATAATTCTGCAATTTCTGAAATACAATCATTAAGAATCTTAACGATCATATTTCAGAAATTGCAGAATTATGATCATTAAGAATCTTAATGATTATTAAATTAATTGTAATATTGTTTAATAACACAAATAGCAAGAATGCTTAAAGTGCTAATAGGTTTAATATTTTTGAAATTATCATAGCTTTATTGTATATTACTATATTACTATATTATATATTTGTTTATCTTTAATTATATATACTTATATCTAAAATATTTGATTATCTGCAATTTTGGCCAATTAAATTATGATTTACCGGTAACAACTTTTTTTAGCCAATTAAATTTACTTGAAAGATCAGCAACCAATCAGATAGATTTTTGGTTATGCTATTTAATAACCAAACGCGTAAAGTTTTTTTAAAACCAAAATATTTTGTTTATTTGCTTATCCTGAATTAAATTTTAGATTATTGCTATTATGACTACTTCTTTTACTTCTTCAAACACTACTACTCAAGTTGATCCATTTACTCAACTTGATATATTAACACTTCTTGACTTATTAAAAAAGTCTCAAGAACGATATGAGACTGCAGAAAACAAAATTATTGAATTACAAGAAAAATTAGATGAACAAGAAAAATTAAATGAGCAATCTCTATTGATTAATAGCAATACTGTACCTTTGGTTTTGCGACCTACACAAGATAATATAGATGGATTTTCTATTTCAAAAATTCCACTTGCAAAAATTTTTAAACTTGACAAAAAAGCTATTCGTGAAGTTAAAAAGACTTTTGGCTTACTTTTGGATAATCATAATATACCAAAAAATTGCACTATATCTAAAATCGATCCTGTGATGATAAAAAAATGGCTTGCAATTGTAAATATTTATTTATATTTTATATATTATATTTATTCTAAATACATATAATATTTTTTGTAGTTACATTCTCAATATAAGGAATATTTTGGAGACAATATGTGGGCATATGAAGAAAGTATGAAACAAGTTATGCAAGATCGTAGTAAATATAGTTTTATTTATTATATTTCTAATAATTATTATTATATTTTGGTTAATTATTTTAAAATTTATAGCATATTATTATAAATATACTGGTTTATCAGCTAAAAAGAAAAAAAAAAACACCCAAAATTTTGCTACTATCAAAAAAAAAAAAGAGTTAATAAACTCACAACACAAACTTGATAAAAAAAATAATAATATAAGCAGTAAAAATAAATTTTAACTCATTAATTTTAAACAAAAATTTATATAAAATTCTATTTATTAGGCAAGATCAATATGGATACGTATATTGAGAATAATGATAGTGATAATCAAAGAAATTATGAAAATACTAGTCATATTTTAAATAATAGTATAGTATTTTTATTTTATTTTATATAAGTTAAAAACTAAATTTAAAACTTTTACTGTTTTTAAGTTATAATATTTATAAAATTTTATTTATTAGATAAAGTCAATGTAATTAATACGGATACTGATAATAATAATAGTGATAGCGACAATCAAGGAAATTATGAAGAGATTAGACATATTTTAAATAATGGTACTTTATTTTTTAGTTAACTTTGAATAATACTTATTGTTTAAATTATATATTTTACATAATTAGATACTAGATTAAATAATACGATTGCAAGTATTAATAATGAAAACATATTACTATCAGATGATGAATTTTTTATTACAAAGAAACATGCAACTAAAAAAATTGGTAAAGTAATTTTTAATTTAAATTTGTAACATTTTAAATATATTAATATTATTACATATCTGTATATAAAATAGTGCCTATGCCAAAAGATTTGATTGCTGATAAAGAAAAACAAATTAATAATATCCGTATTTTAAAAGAACGTAAAGTAAATAAAATAGTTGGTAAGTTGATATTTGATACAAATTGTACTATTTTGAATTATATTTATAAGTATATACTGTATTTATTTGAAATTAGCTGCTAAATTAGGAGACATTGGAAATAAAAATATATCAGAATATACCGATAATGATAGACCAAGCAAGCGCACTAGAAGCCAAAGAAAAAACTAGGCGAATTTTTTAAAATCATATGATAATAACAATAGATATACTAGAATCAAAATGAGAATATGCAAAATTTTAAAATAGTTATATGATAATACATAAATAAATATGCATTTGAATTTGCAAATATAATAATTATATTTTATTTAAATCTTAATATAATATATTTGAATATATACCATATACGTACATACATGCAATATAATGCCCAGATGTGTTGTTTTTAATAATGGCCCAAACCAAGCTTAATTTAGGTCAGAGTTATTTTACGCTTAATTTAGGCCAGAGTTATTTTACGCTTAATTTAGGCCAGAGTTATTTTACGCTTAATTTAGGCCAGAGTTATTTCACGCTTAATTTAGGC